TTTATACATATTACTTATTGAAATTTTTTACAATTTAAATAAAATACTTATTTAAATAAATAAAATATTTACAAATAACAAATATATCAGTACGCCGTGCACACCCCTAATCTTGGCACACAATGCAAGCCCGACTAAGAAATAACCCAATGGAAAATTGTTTTGGGTCTCTAAGGTGTGTTTGGTACAGCTTCTTAACTAATTCAGTTTCTTAATACTATTTATATCTTATAAGTTAAAATTTTTCTTCTAAAAACTTACATTTTTAAACTTTTTTTTATCCTTAAAAAGATTATAAACAGTAAAAGATCAAAAACTTCAAATTCAAATTTTTTATAAACTTCTTTTTTACTCACTTTTTATTTACTTTCCTATATCTAAAAGTAACTTTTAAATTTTTCCTCTAATAAAAATTTAAATTTATCACTTATAAACAGTACTTTAAAAGTAAAAATTTCAACAAACTGTATCAAACAAGCCCTAACTATCAACGAAAATCCAGTCGGCATTAAAAAGGCAAGGGTAAACTATGTGAATAGTCACTCACCTTTATCATAATTTTCAATTTAGTCATTCTCCTTTTAGATTTGTAAATTTAATTATTAAACTTGCATTTTACTTACCGTTTATCACTAACCATCACTTCCTTATTTCGATTGAATTTACCAATGTTGTGGCGTGAACCAAGCTAGAAAAAAGAGTTAACATGTCACCTAAATGAAAAATAAATATAAGGCAAAAAATTTTTAAGCAGCAAAAAAAAAAATAAAAAAAAAAAATAAAATTATACACCTTACAAATACCTAATATGTGCCATTTCTTTGCTTGTCTCTCAACAAATTACTCCCTCTCTTTTTAATTTTTGTAAATTTGGTTTTTAATTTGAGACATTTATACTTAAACTTCATGTAGCATGGTTGTAGTTTATGGGGTTTAGTTTTGGATTTCATAAATTTTGCAATTATATGAACAAAAAGCTCTTTTATTTTCTTTTTCTTTTTCTTTTGCAAATTATTATAATTATTAAAGAAATATAAAGAAAAATAATTTTATTACTGTTAAATAAGTTTATGTTTTTTTTGTTGTTAGTGCTAAAAATTGTCTCAAAAAAACTTTTTGGTTTTGGTTTTCATTAGTTGAAAAATTTATAAAAATCACAACAAAAAATTCAAAACTACTCTCATACTAAAATGGAGCCTTAATTGTTTATTTTTTT